TTTCCCCACTATCCTGTCAGAGCTGAAGAAGCTTATTGAATGAGAAGTGAAACGTCTTCAAAGAAAAAAACAAAACCCAGTTGCCTCCTGAAAAAAGCACCTTTGGGACAGCCATGACCTAGATGACTGAGAATCTCTACAGAAGTTCAGAGAATGGATTTCTTGTTCAGAAAGCCACAGTTAGAATGTCTGTGGAGATTAAGTCATCCATGTCATGGTTGTCCCAAAGGCATGCTTTCAAAAGGCAACTGGACTTTGTTTTTCCTTGAAGACGTTTATATTATAATTTATATTCCTTAGTGCTAATGATCAGATAATTTCAAGGGATATAAATCCTTCCATTTGCCACCATTCAGTCAGAATTGAAGAAGCTTCTTGGATGAGAAGTGAAACGTCTTCAAGGAAAAACAAAGAAAGTCCACTTACCTTTTGTTAGAATGACATATAGAGCAGCTAGAAGGTTTAAAATAGGAAGAGGAGTGTGCATATTGTCCCACTGTCCATTTAACATATGCAGAATATATCAACATTGGATTAAAAGAAATTGGAATTAACATTGCTATATATCAACAATCTGATATATGTGGTTGGACACAAGGAAAAGGAATCTCTTTGGAAATGAAAGAAATTAGTGTAAACATCAAGCTGCTGCTCAACAGGGTTGTTGTTGTTTTTTAGAAAACTTTATGTCAATAGGCAGGGCCTACTTAATGCAGAGAGTCAGAGAGTTGAAATAGTAGTAAGCTCAAAAATTCTTAGGGATGATGACTAGAGCCGTGAAATAAAGAGGTGTCCTTGCTTGAGATAAAGGCTACAACAGATCTAGATTGAAAATTAAGATACATAGACATCAAACCAAAAACGAATGTTTATAAGGTTTCCCCCACAAAGGAAGGGAAAACATGCATGTCCCTGGATAGTGTTGCCAATCAGGGTCGGTCACTGGGACCAGAGGTTTCCTTTTCTGAGCTTTCGGACCCGTGCTGGAGATTCTTCAGGGAATCTCTCTCTAGCAGAATGCATGCTTTGGGCTATTCTGTGTTCCTTGACAATGGGCTGCAGCAAGAGACCAAAAGCCTGGAAGACTAAACCTCTGGTCCCGGTGGCCTACCCAGATTGGATCCTGCAAGGTTTTCCCCAGCTACAAATGTAGCTTTAAAAGCTGGGCCATCAAAAAGACTGTGACAAAAACATTGCTCTTGAAATGCGGTGCTGGTTGAGAATATCTTGGACCTGGAACACATGAGTTGCTAACCACACTGCTCGTTGGAAGCAGTTTTTGCAAAACTAAAGCTGAACTCTTGCATGCATCAGGCAAAGGCATGGGTCCTGGGAAAAAACCCTTATGCTTGCAGAAATAGAAGGCTAGGTGGAAAGATGCCATCACTGAGAACATAAAGCTGTGTTTTCAAAAAATCAAAGTGACTGACAGTCCTGGTAATTAAGTTTCTTGGACACAAACAGAAGTGGCAACAAAAGTAATGTAGGGAATTAAACTAATAGGGGTAGTCCTCAACGTACGACCATAATTGAGCCGAAAATTTCTGTTGCTAAGATAGTTGTTAAGTGAATTTCCCTCCATTTTATGACTTTTCTTGCCACAGTTGTAAAGTGAATCACTGCAGTTGTAATGGTAGTGATGTGGTTGTTAAGTGAACCCAGCTTCCCCACTGACTGCTTGTCAGAAGGTCACAAAAAGTAATCACCTGATTCTGAGACATTGCAACTGTCATAAATATGGGTCAGTTGCCAACCGGTATAAGTGTGAAAAACTCATAAGTCACTTTTTTCAGTGCTATTGTAACTTTGGTCACTAAACGAACTGTTGTAAGTCAAGGACTACCTGTATTTGAATTCTAAATGGACTGTCATGTTATAAATATGCACACCTAATTTGTATGGTCTATTTTTGTCTTTGAACCAGATTTATATTTATTTTGAATAGTTATGAGTACAGATGTTTTATTCCTTTCAATTTCTTCCTATTGTCTTTTCTATTCCTAATCTGATTGATTGTTGGAATCAACAGTTTTTCCAAGTTGATTGTCATAATGACTTACATCCTGTCCGTAAGGCAGCTGGCGCAATTCATGTACAACACTGGGCCCCAAACAGACTTACAACCCCATGATGGCGAACTTATGGCACATGTGCCAGAAATGGCATGCAGAACCATCTCTCCGGGCACGCCAGCCGTTGCCCATTGTTCTTCTGGGTTTTGGCACGCATGAGCGCTGGAAACCAGAAGAGCAGCTGCCCGGCACGCATGTGTGCACTGGCCAGCTGGTCTTTGTGCACACATGCGTGTTAGAAAATGGAAGACCAGGTGGCCGGTGCACATGTGGGTGCTGGCAAGCCGAGCTCCCATTTCCGCACTCAGTGCTGAAAAGGTTCACCACCACTGCTTTAACCCAACATGTGAATCTAGCCAATCCCGTCCATTGATTGATGTGCTGCTTCTTCACTGTTGCCTTAGGTTCTCAGGCAGCAGCCAGATGTCAATCAAGCTTGCAGAATTTGGAACATAGCTACTTCAGAGGTGGAGTGGGTTGTGGCTCAAATGAAAGATTTATTACAAGAGAACAGGTTGGTGGATTTCAATTCTTAGAATTTCTGAGTCAGCCATAACAATCTCCCTTGTAGTTTTTTTTTAAAATATCCCTGCAAGTAAAAACCTTACTGAAGTAAGAAGAGAATGTCTTGTCTTGTTGTGTCTTCTCCTTTTGTGCTACTTTTTTCCTTTTTTAAAAAAATACGAGATTCAGAGAGTGCTGACTGAAGCAATACAGGCTGTTTTATCCTCAAAGCCTGGATGTCCATACAGGAAGAGGTAGATTCCTATTTAAGGCTTTTTAGAAGTCCATTTTCTCCAAGGTACTAATACTCTCTGAGGTACTAATACCATTCTATAAAGCTTTAGTAAGACCACACCCAGAATACTGCATCCGGTTTTGGTCACCATAAAATAAAAAAGATGTTGAGACCCTAGAAAAAGTGCAGAGAAGAGCAACCAAGATGATTAGGGGACTGAAGACTAAAACACACGACGAACAGTTGCCAGTACTCTACATGGCTAATCTACTGAAGAGAAGGACCAGGGGAGACATGATAGCAGTGTTCCAATATTTTAGGGACTGTCACAGAGAGGTGAAGGTCAACCTATTTTCCACCTGAAGGCTAGACAAGTAATAATGCATGGAAATTGATCAAGGAGAGATTCAAACTATAAATAAGGAGAAATTTTCTGACAGTGAGAACCAGCTTGCCTTCAGAAGTTGTGGGAGCTTCATCACTGGAAGCTTTCAGAAGAAATTGGACAGCCATATGTCAGAAATGGTGAAGGGTCTCCTGCTTGGGTGGAGGGTTGGACTAGACCGCCTACAAGGTCCCTTCCAACTCTGTTACTCTACCCCACTCTACTCTACTCTACTCTACTCTACTCTACTCTACTCTACTCTAC